AGACAGTGATGTCTTTCTTATAATGCAAGGAAAAAAAGTGGTCTTTTCCCCAGTTTGCTGGGCTGTCAATTCTAAAGCAGTTTAATAGCATGCCCTGCCATTCACGGGAATAGATGTAACCAGTGAAAAGGATAAAGCCAGTTTTGCAGGGCTCTGTAAACATATCAGTGAGAACTGAAACAGATACAGAAGGTTTTCTGGACCAGTGCTTTTACACTCTAAGCAATTTATTGACATACCTGTACTGACTGTGTTGCTGGGCCAGGGACTGACAAAGCTAGGTAGTAGCTGACTCCTGGGCCATGGACAGGGGTTTCCCTCAGGGCCCTCACAGAAATAACACAGTCAATCTAAAGAAGTAACTATAATTCAAACTTTCTGTTCAAAATTTTCTTAGGTAACAAAGAAAGATACATTGTTTGAGTTTTTATCAAATAAATACCACACATCACCAGCATAAAAAATTCTGTCATACATTGTTTTCAGGTTCAAAATATCTAAGCATGTAGCAGTGGTTTGTACTATGTAACTCAAAGCATACACAGGGCCTATTACAGCAAAAACACTTGCATCTGTGGGCCTACGACTGTGAGAAAAACTTGCTTAGCAACCGAGAAGAGCTTGTCTTAACTTGTTTTGCTCATTTTATTTTGAAGACAATGGTTACTGTCACAGAAATACAGAATAATTACATTTCTACAATCTGCATGTGAACAGGTATCAGGGAAAGATGGAAAGCAGTCCAGCTTGCATGGCATGAGAAAGCAGCTCTCTGCCTTCAGGAGCTCATGGAAGGAGAGCAAGGCAAGTTTAATGGGTCTCAAAGAAGCACACAGTAAAACAACTGTCCTGCTGAGTAAGGAACCACGGCCCTGTCCTCCTTACTAAATTTGAGCACGCCTTTTTTTTTTCCCTGAAGATTACTCTGCTCATTAGAAAAAAGAAAGGGTGTATGGGCATGAATTACTGAGCAGTAGTGAATAAATAAATGCAAGTGGGAAACCCTGTTCTGCAAAAAGTGAAACATTGTCTCTCCATTGTCTTTCTGAGTAGCAATTCCTCAGGATCCAATCTGATCTCTAAAAGACCTTTTAATTTATAAATTTCCCATCTTTAAACCAGGTAACCTCCCCGACCCTCCTCACAGCTTCCATGGAGATACTTGGCCACCAGCCTACTTAAAATATGGACTTAAAAACTCATTTGCATGTAGCAATAGTCCATATTTTGTCTACTCTTTAAATAATTAATCTTCAAGGCCTAACAAACTTTCAGTGATGGCTTTCTGCAAGGCAGAAAAATTTCTCCTGGCATTCCCAGCCTATTTCAATAAAGGCAAAGCTGTCATATATTCACTTAATGCTCAGAATACAAACAGAGTTTATAATTGAATACATACTAAAAATACCAAACAGAATTTACATTTGTAGACTGAGGTTTCCTGAGCTGCCATAGAAACTCTGAGGCAGAGTTACTTTGCTACAAAGTCCATATCAGAAATGTACTTGGAACCTAAATCCTGTGATTTCACTTTCATTTTTTATTTTTATGGGAATTGTGTGTATCCTCTGGAACCATCTTTACCTTGAAGTATTTTTGTTCATGGAGGAATGACTAAGACACTGGTAAGAGCCATTAGAATTATCAGATTTTAACAAGTATCTGTGCATGTTTGCACAAATAATTAGGTTCAGACCAAGTCTTCTGGATGAGAACTCTATATTAGCAGTTGCAAAGTGCTCACACCAGGTCTCTAGTGCTTGTGTTCGGTTCTAATTTAAAGTTGTCTTAATTCAGTGGCATCAGTTACCATTTCCAGTGACAACTTCTTTCATTTATGTATTCCAAATAATAATCTTTGCCTGTCATTTCAGTTCTATGCCCCCATCTGCCCTCTATCCCCCATGTTGTCCCCTCTGCACCCCCTGCAAAGCATGATTCAGCATCCCTGATGGGAGAGGTGTGGCTCACAGAAAGTATCTATCATCATGACATCATAGATGCTGACAAACATGGTCTGCTCAGCAGCTGGAAGAGCTCAACAGAGACAGACATACCACTACACACTATAGTCTCTACTGAAGACCCAGCAGGCTCACTTTTTATCATTCACACCATCAGGTGTTTTTTCCTCTGCTTGCATTTTTATCACGTTATAGCACAATACATCATATGCCAGAAGGCATTTCAGTATAATTTGGTTTACTTGGATGAAATATGTGTTTATGAAGAAAGCTGGAACTCTTTAGAAAGGAACTTGTTTTTCATGGCTTTGTTTCCACAATGCAAAACAGTTAAGTGATTGTTGACCTTTCTGCAGACAACCAGTTATGTATTGTTGACTTTCCTGGCTTTGGGGACATATAAAAATCCTAATTGGCTGCAGAGGTCAGAAAATGATGAGACACTTTTCTCTCTCTTTGCTCTCCATTCTTCAAAATGGTTCAAAATATATTTTAGATTAGGGAAAGTTGTTGGTTATGGACTACTATTTTCAAGCAGTCTCTTCATCTTGTCTAATGACCTTCTTTCTGATATCCATGCTGTCAATGGGAAAAGAGAGGTAAGCTTTCTGTCCGTTTCCTTATGGAAGGGCCTAGAACAGAATGTAAAAGCAGGAAAGCAAGGATATGGACAAACATGGTAGGGGTTTCCACACAGAGAAACAAAACTGATGTGGGAGGACATCAGCCCATGGTTCTCCATGTAACCACTCATTGACACAAGCAGGAAGTCAAAGACAAGGAATGCAAACATCTTGCAATATTTAGACCAGAAGGTACTTTTGAAATGTCATTGCACTTCCTCAATTTTTTTTTGGTTGGGAATTTTCTTCTTCACTATTTCTAGCCATTTGTACTTGGGTCATGGGGATAAACAAGTGAATGCAGAGCAGGGGCATGCAGAGAATGCCCCTGTCCTCAAGGTGGATGCATTAAACCACATTCCTAACAAAATGGGGGAAGAAAGTGATGAAACAACAGTAAAGGAGAAATAAGAATAACATGATCCTAGTCCTATAGCAATGGGCAATACTAAGTGCATGTATTTATACATGTTACAAATTCACAACTTCCTAGGGAAAAAATTATGGAGATTCTTGAATATTCCTTCAGAATGGTACAGTATCGCTTTTAGACAGACCTTCAGACTATCCATCTGAGCATGAGAGTTTCTCAGAAACAGAGGGAAGAGGAGTGGAAACAGTCTGCACCACAGAAATGAAATTCTGGAAATACTACTATTACTGAGATAAAGGGATAGCAATATAATGTAAATAAACAATTTGTAAGAGTTTTGAAAGCAAGCTCCCATCTGTTCTGGATACACAAAAATGCTACAGAAGGGACTATAATTTACAGCATAAATGGCAGTTACTGTTAACCTCAATTTAACAGGAGAAAGAAGACTGCTATACATGTCAAACATCAAAGCATTATATAAATGACCCACAAAGGGCAGGAAATCAAGACACAGAAATAACCTGGTATGAGTTATTGCACAAGGGAGCTGTGGCCAGAAGCCAGTGTACACAGGTATGTCTGATACACTTTGTTAAACCAGTGTTGAAACTTACTCTGTGGTAAATAAAATACAATAATTCCCCAAAGTCTTCACATCTTCTAAAAAATAAAAACCAACAACTTTTAAATATTTAATATAGTAATGAGTCTGCCAATAATCCGTATTCATTCTGTAGCAGCTGCTGTGAATCACAATGTTTCTCACTCACATACACAGAATGGGAAAAAAGGCTATTTGGGAACACGGGCCCTCTCCAGCAGGGCTGTGTGAGTAGTGTGGCACTTGGAACAGCATTTCAGTGATTTCAGAGCACAAGTTCCCCTCAAAGTCACGGCGCAGACAAAATAATTTAAACCACCATCACAGATGTGGGATTCCTTTTCTAAATGGATAGGTGATGAGAGCTGTATTACAGACATCAGAAAGAGTGATTTCGTTCTGCTAGTTGAGGGAAAAGAACATTTTCCAGTTCTTCAGCAGAAATATACTTGCTGCAATCATTAGGATGAAATAGGTCTTAGCCTTAGAAAAATAGACTGACTACAGGGATGTGCATTTTGGCCTCTTTCATAGAGGTGGCTATTTTCTTGCAGTTACCTGGGAAGGGGAAAGAAAGGCAGGCTTTCATGCATGACGTGGAACCACAGATAATAGAGACTGATTTATTGAATGAAGATTCTTATTATACATTAGAATTATTTTCTTTTCTTTATTAAACAATTATTTTCCTCTTAATGCAATTGTTGCTATTTTCCTGTTGATTTGTGTTACTGCAGGGTAACTGTTGTTGAATTTAACAGGTTTGCTTGAAGGTTATTCCTTGGGAGGCTGTACAAAAACCTTTAAAGGATGCAAAGGGCATTTGTACATGGTGAAAAAATTGAAAACACAATGCTGCTAAAATACAAAGGGTATACTTGCTCATCAGTGACAAGCAGAAGTTTTGCAGCAATGTGGCTCATCTGGCAGGACAAAGGTTTGATTGGGTTCCATCCCCATACTGTCAAAAGTTAAAACTACAAAAAGAATGCATGTAAAAAGAGAAATTTTCTCCTGTGTTTCAAACAAATGCTTGGATCTGTTTCCACAGAGTTAGGGGGAAGTTTTTTGTAAGCATTTATGTGAAAAAGTTTCTTAAATGCTACCCAGTGTTGTGACAGTCTCCACCATGTGTTAGAAACTGACAATACTGATGGCCTGCATGAGCATACAAGGCTCTCCAGCCTGTCTGAGACAGTCACAAATACCTTTTAAGTGTCATGAGGAATCATGTAGGAGGAGGTTGGGATACTTTCATCTAAAAATAGGGAGCACCTAGTTTAAGAAAAAATATTAATTTACAAATCTGTTTCTTTGGTTTGAAGTTATGAAACAATGCAGTTGCTCAAGCATCCTTTTCCACCACATCCCTGCACCTACTGGGACACCTTTACAGCAATGAGAGAACCTGATCTCAGAGGCTGCTGATCAGTGGCATGAAGTCCAGTTGGAGGCCAGTAACTAGCAGCGTATGCGAGGGGTTGATTCTGGGCCCAGTCCTGTTTAACATCTTTATTAGTGATCTGGATGATGGGGCAGAGAGTATCCTCAGCAGGTTTGCTGATGACACCAAACTGGGACCAGTGGCTCATTCATCAGAGCATCATGCTGCCATGCAGAGGAACCTCAACAAGGTGGAGGAATGCACTGACAGGAACCTCATGAAGGTCAACAAGGGGAAGTACAAAGTCCTACACCCAGGGAAAAACAACCCCAGGCACCAATACATGCAGGGGAACAATCAGCTGGAAAGCAGCTTGGCAGGAAAGATCATAAAGGCCCTGGTGGACACTAGGTTGATCATGAGCCAGCAACATGCCCTTGTGGCAAAGGAGCCTAATGGAAATATGGGCTGCATTAGACAAAGTATTGCCAGCAGGTCTAGGTAGGGGATCCCTCTCCTCTGCTCAGCACTGGTGATGACACACCTGGAGTGCTGTGTCCACTTCTGGGCTCTGTGTGATAGTGTGATTCTATGTTAATCGCTTGTCAGTAAAGATTGGTACTATCTTTGTCTCCACATATGATTTCCACTCACACACAAAGACTCTTATCTTTATTATGACAGGGCCATATATAAAACTTCCAGATTCTTCCAAATCTAAATTATTTCCGTTTCCATGTTTACTGTCAGTACAGAAGAACACATTTGAATCCATGGCTTTATCAGTAAATTGGCAATGTGCTTTCAGGACCTTACATATTTAAACACGTGTTGCTTCTAATCCAAATGTGCAAGAGTTTGCTCAAAAATAAATACTGCTGGAGTTTCATTAGGCTACCATATTTCATCTTAAATTACATTTGTTTAGGGACACACCTAGCATTCCAATGAACAATAACAGATGTGACTGTTTTGGGTAAGTACCAGTCACCAGATAAATACAAATTCCTAGAGGATGCTTTCATCAAAACACACATTTTGTTGTTTAACAGTAGATTATCACTGACAGTAACAGGCTGCTGCTAACTGCCCGTTAAATCTTTTGACATACATAGCTGCTGAGTGCTGAACCTCTTCGTGTGTGGCATCTAATACCTGGAAGTTACTGAAGCTGCATGTTTCTGCTACAACATATACACACATACATTGTGTTGAGTAGGAAGATGCCTGTCATAACTCATTACATGAGACCAAACTTCAAGTCAGACTTAAAAAGGGGGCTTGTGAAAGCTTACTGGATATTTTGCTTCATGGCTAGAAGGGTCAGAGGAGAAAGGTGGGGAAACTGTCTTATAAAGGGGAATATAGGCATAGGGGAAAGCATTGGAAATGACTAAGGGGTGATGGTGGTGGGGAAGATAGGTGGCCCCTGCTCTGAGCAGGGAGGGTGGGGAAGTTGCCTGGACTAGCCTCCATTCACAGGACAGACACAAGATGCTGGGAAGAGGAGGTATAAGAGAACATAACTTCAAGCTCTCACAGAGGTGTCAGCAGAGCAGTCAAAAGCTGCCAGAAGTAACCAATGGCAGCCTTATAAAAGGAAACTGGTACATTCACAAGATGAAAGCGCATGATTTTTAAAGACCATCCCATATTACTGAGAAACATAAGAGTTTCTGAAAGACATATTTCTGTGCTGTAATACCTTTATCAAGTAATTCACACAAGATACTCCTTTTAGTACAAGATGCCATTTCTCCCAAACATCTTGACAGTGAGAAATCATCACCTGACTCTGAAATGGCTGATGCAGTCCCAGTGCTTTCTTATCAGCACTAGAAAGTTCATGCGTTAGACTAAGAAAAAAAACTGATTCAGAGAAACAGTGATAAAAAAGATCAAAGCAGCAGTTAGATAAATGACCAGTGAAAATTAGGTGCAGGTATGTCTCTGCCGTTTCTTTCTTTTACGAACAAAAGAAGCCAAATTCTGTAGCAGAAGATATGTACAGCTTTATTTTAATAGGTCATGGTGATGACACCAACAAAGTGTATTAGTACAGCTAATTTATATAATAATAGTAACTGCACCTGCACAGACAACAATTTGAATACTCTAATATTTATATAGAGACAAAAATTTGAATACTCTAATATTTATATATTTGCTTAATTTATATTAAAACCCTTAACATTGTCAGAGTGCTGTAAGTTGGCATCTACATAAATGAAAGCTAAGCCCACTACTATGTAACATGCTTATGTAAAGGAGACAGGCTCACAGATATTGTCTATACAATTAAGAAGAGCAATACACATTTTGGTCAAGAAAGATATTTTTTAGATTACATTAACTAAAAATGCAACAATTGTTTTATCAAAAAAGTAGAGCTAAAATAAAAAATATGTAGAAAGAATCACTCTGCATTGCAGTTCTATCCTGAAACTTCAGCACTTTGGTGCAGTATTTACTATATATCTTTTATCTTTAATGCAACATAAAGCAATGATCTTTAGAAACAGTCCTTAGTTTCAAGACCTGACTCTCTGTTCTGTGAATTTAGGAGTACCTCAGCTGGAAGAAAAATCAGTCACATAAAACCTGAATCCAAATTTTTTTGAAACCTTGGAGCTATGCTCTTGGCTCCCCTAAAGAGCACATATAAATGCATGCTCAGATTTCTGAAAGCACATCAAGAACATTATTTAGGTTACATGGCAAACAAATTACACTGAAGGTAAGACTCAAAAGAGCTTGGAAATTTTATTGCTGCAGAACTTACTCTCTGGGAAAAAAGAAGAGAGAATTCTACTGACACATACTTAAAAAAAAAAATCCACAGTGTTTGCTGGGTGTGTGGAAAAGGAAGGGAGTAAAGCTGATGGTGGGAAAAAACAAGTGCAGTATCTCATAACAAGGGACTTCGTTATCACAGCCAATAGTAATAGGCTATTATGCGTGGACATTTAGGATACAGGCAAGCACAGCATTAGAAAAAAAAATGCAGTCCAGGTTTTGCATTCACTTCAGTCAATTGATGTTTGTTTGATACACTTCCACTGGGAATGTAATACTGGGAACCCATTATTACAATGCCCACCTTACAACACTACACACAATCATAGGTTTTCTGTCACGTTGCTGTTCACAACCCCTTTTCTTCCTGAAGCAGGTACTGAGTGGCTAGTACACTAACAAATAATGAGGTGCAACAGGAGCAGATCTAAACAGCCAAATGGTGGGTGCTGAGACCTGATACCCTGCAGTATATGTATCTGAAGGCTACTACTGCAGTTTATCTGTAACCTGGTTCCAAGGAGCAATGCTCATTGGTGGCTGGAAGGCACCAGGTGCATTCCTAGAGTGCATCCTTGGGCTTACTTGCTTACTTATGATTTACTTCTGTTGTATCCACACATAACTGAATTCTCTATAAAGATACTATTTTTTCTAACAATTAGGGTACCTTTATGAAGTGCAATTTGCTGCCATGGATACTCTAGCTATTTCTGAATTAACTAGCTCAGGTAGCAGATACTCAGGCCCTTGCTTGGATATACAGCAAGAAAATATGAAAGTATGTTTCATTCTCTGGTTAATTCTTGCACAGACTCCAAGGGAAATCTCTGTCTTTGAGTGCTGGGATGATAACAGCTTCTTCTCTCATGAACCACCAAAAACATTTACCTTATTGAATAAGAAAAAGAGCAAAGGAGTGGAAAGACAAGATAAAGAAAAGTTTGGGACTCAGAAGACTTAGGCTCTGATGTGAAACTGTCTCCAGTTCTGTTTGACTTCACTATAACTGTGGGGAATTCTTTTCCTGCATTATTTTGTTGTAAACTAGCTTGTTGGAGCTATTGCTGACATTGAATAAGTACACTTCACTGTTAATTTGGACACCTCAAAGAAGTGTGACCTGGAAATGGATCCATTTTATGCTTTTGGGCAGCTTTTGTTTACCCATGATAAGGATGTTTGGGGCTGGGGACAGTCTTCAGTAATTCGAATATGATATTTTATTTGCCTGGTTATGCAGGCTTTTCAGAAAAAGCTGGGGTTGTTCAACTTAGTTCCATTCAGTTCTACTCCAATAAAAATCTAATAGACTTTTAGGATAAATAAACTATGAGATCAGTCAGCCAGCAGGATTTACACCATGCCAGACCCAGAAGTATAAGAACTGTAGGCATTCTGAGAACTTGTGACACCTGTGGTCATAAGTGGTTAATAAAGTTGAAAGAGAAATCTGTGCTGCTCTACTATCACATAACCTACACCTCTGCAGAACAGCTCTCTATCCACCTATGAATAACTTGCAACCTTTATGTATGATCTCAAATTTGACCTAGAAAGGAAAGACAGGATTTGGGTCTTTGTTCCATTAATCCCAGACAAAGTGGAAATATTTTGTAGTTCTGCTGCTTTCTTGATAAGGCCAGAAAATGACCAGACCAAATGGACTGTGTAAACTGACACTGAGAAATAATGAAGTAGTTCTTGTGCAGTGTGATATACCTTTGTTCCTGGAGCTTTTCCAAGCTTTTTTCTTTACAGAAACAAACATAACCAACAATTGCATAATAAAGGAATCCACTTCAGTGTCATGATCCCCTCTGGAATGTGAAGTGATACTGTTTTACACTACTTAGTTTAGAAAAACATATACTTTATATCCTTCAATAAGACATACAACCATGTGATGTTTCATCACAGTAACATGGTGGCGCTTTGTGATGCTATAAAAAGATTATTAGTTACTCATTTATGAAATCTCTGTTCCTGTCAGCAAGCAGATACCAGATTTAACCTGACTTAAAGTTAATTTTCTAAATGGAGAACATGTGTCTCTACTATGCCTTGTGTTGGCCTAATTATCATTAATTAATTCTCGTCTTGGTTATGTTGTTGAAAAAAAAGTAGTTTTTTGCAGAATCTTTACTTTGTGTGGATTTTAAGGAGAGAGAACAAAAACATTAGGTAGATTTTAAAATAAGCTTTCCAGCATAACTGAGTTATTTCTGGTTATTCTGGCAGTTCAGCTAACTGCATTTTAACATCTAACATTTGACATTTGACTAAGCAACAAAGATCTCATTCAGTCTTTAGGCAAAACTCTACTTTGGTCATTGACACTTAACGAGAACTGCACAACTGGGTCATTAATACAATTCCCAACTGTTGGGAAAACACATATATGTCTTCCTCCACAGCACAAAGCCAAACTTGGAAAAAGTTGCCCTAGCAACTTTGGTACAGGTCTGTATGTGACACTTTGCTTTTGCTTCATTTTTCTGGTGACTCAGATGCACTGAGACATACATACATATAGTGTCTTAAGATTATTATATACCAGATGAGAAGCATTTTCTAGAACCCAAAGCAAAAAAACAGCTTATTGATTTAAATCTATAATAGTTGGATTGTTGAGATTTGTTTGTGCTTTCCAACTATGCTGGGCAGAATAAAGAATAATTCTGTCTATAAAATATTAATGGCACTCATTCTTCAGGCAAGAACACAGTAATAACTGGCATTTTCTTTTATGTAGATGGTTATATTACTAATGTCCCTCAGTTATTTTGCTCTAAGTTGAGACCACCCCCTTGTTATTAACTCACAGCCGGCATTCAAATTGTCCTTCGCATAAACTTTGCCTGCCTCTGGCAAGAAGATAGGAGAAATGCCTTTTCTGAAATCATCAAACAAGTACTTTTCAAAAAATAAATTGAGTATTGCAGCCATTTTTAGTTTCTGAAATAAATGCAGCTTTCAGCCAATGTATCAAATTAGTATACATAGGGAAAACCTCAAAGAGAGCATATTTTAAATACGGTACTTGTTAAAGTGCTGTTAACGGGCATTTGAATTGGCATGTTAAACTGAATTAAAATGCAACAGCATCCGGACATAGGACTAATTCTTGTAAAGGTATTCTCTAAAGACTGATGTAGGAAGTAAGCCACCAGAACGAACTTGCTGATCATGTTACTCTATTTTGTTCTTTAGCCATTTTTTGCTTAATGTTAAATATGCATTCTTGCTAGACTGATCTCTCATTCTAGAAATTATGGGTTTCAGTGAGGGAAAAGGAAGGTAGAATTACATTAAAACAGTGCTTCAGTGTACATACACTGATAAAACAACTTTGAAAAAGAAATATAGCAATTGTGTTTTTCCCCATCCCTTCCTTTCCATACAACTACTGTATAATACCTTGTACAGTATTTCAAACCTCTAAAAAGCTAATGACATTTTTCTCTATTCCTTCTCTTCTTTTGCTGTTATTTCATGACAATAATAAGTGTCTTTCACATAATAATAATAGTAATAACAGTAAAAGTACTTACAGGTTCTGGACTAAAATCAAACATTACAGGGCCTTTAGATTATGGGCCATTTTCATAAGCCAGAGTCTAAACTGAAAAACATACATTTCTCTAGGTTTACACTGACATAATTTAGATGGGAATCAGATGCTGTTCTATAACTATAAGCCCAATTATGTCAATCAAATATATCTTCAGGAAGCTAGAAAGCTACATAAAACTTTATAATCCTGCTAATATTAATATATAATTAGTTAATAAGCCTTACAGAGGGGAAGTAATTTAAAAAATTGTAGTGCTAACTGTACTGCATTTTAAAGACTCATGTCACTTACATAAAGGTGCACCTAACTGAGGTTTTTTGAACTGATGTTGCACTACCACTTTACTTCAGAGCAAGCTTAGTAATGCATTCAGAAGCTGCAAACAGACAAGTTCAGAGAGAGAAATCACAAGTCCATTATGTATATGAAGTCATTTGTCATCATGGATATTTTATGAGAATTTTATGAAGCTGTAACAGATGGCAAAACTTTTACTTGGGCTAAAAAGAATTTATGTTTCAAAAAGTAGCTCTATTTGATTTCATCAAATACATTTTCCACATAGGAAGGGATTACAAAACATCTTAGTCTCCTGACTTTCAAAAGCTCTTTGACGTGTAATATTTTGTCAGAAAATGTTGACATAGAGTCAAAGCCAGCTGAGTAGAATCAGATTATGCAGAAAATGATGCATGGAATCTTAATCTATAAGAAAATCTGGATGATTTTGTAAAATGTTGTAAAATAAAAGATGGAATAAAACCATGGAAATCAGGATTTGTATCCTCTTATAAAAGAAATGTATTTTTCTCATAAAAAGGAGAATAATCAGTTCTCAGTAAACACTTCCAGTCTTTGGATGTAGTACTCTATCCCTAGTAACATGGATATTAACAAAATGTGATTTAGTTCAATTAATGTAGCTGCTATTCAGCAGCATATTCCATAAAGATGGCTGTATGCATTCCTGAGCTTCCACCAATATAAATTCTTCTGTCTAAATCCTCTTAGGAGATTGGAACCATTTTTTCCTGTGATGCTGTGTTTGTTTCAGAAACTTTTCCCATACTTTCCCCAGCTCTAATAGTTGATAGAATGGCTTGTGAAATAGAGATTAAATGGGAGACTTAGACGTGCCAAAATAGTCCAACATCACTTCCCAAACTGGTTCTACCATGGGCAGACTTCCTCATATCTACTCCTCTCTAGAAGATGTACTATGATTTCCCTCATCCTTGTATGTCAAACATCTTGCAGTTTAGAAGACACACAGAATCTTTTGTGTTAAAGGCTTCAATATCATGTTTAACAAGAGCATCTAGTGATGAACCCTGGAAAAATGAATGCACCCACTAGAAAGAAATTAAAATCAGGTAGCAATAATTGAAAACAAAACTAGATTGTAGACTGAGGGCAGGGAAGAGGGAGTTAAAATAAAAGGAAGGATTCCTAACATACTGGCAATGGCAAATCCATCTCCTTTAAAGCCTCCGTGGATAGCTGCAATACTGCTTTGTGGCACAAATAGTCCAGAGGTGTGAAGCCACTCAAAGGTGTACTCTCTGGTGCACAACCCACAGAAGAGCAAAACCATGACCTAACTCAGAATACCGTTAAATATACAAAGCAATCTTGAAACTTCTGAACTTTGCAAAGGGGAGGATGACTATTCACTTCTAGAAACTTCAGTGTGTGTGTTTTTACTAGAATGAGAAAATGATAGGTTTTTTCCCTAAAACAAGATCTGTCTTCATTATTTTGGCTTTTCTTAACCCGACTTAGCAATTAAATTGAAACACAAGCATTGACTTAGCAACCACTCAAAGCAAAATCAACCTGACTGCACACATTCTCACTACTTCCCCCCGAGAGAAATTGCAGCATAGAAAAACTACTCTCCTTGGGATTTGTGTACAAAGTAATGTTATGGCAGAGAGAGATAACCAATTTAGAAGTGAAAGTAGCCATAGTACTGCCTTCTAAATGCCCAGCTCCACTTGGACCAATGCACACTAGGAATATTCCTGTATTGCTGTTCTCTGCCTGCACTCTTAAGGACCACAGCAGCCGCACGGAGACAGGTCAAGTACCTCTGCCTCACGCTGTGCCGTGCAGAACAGGTGTTACGCTATTTTAGCATTTTGTTTAAAACTCTTCTTCTTGATTGTTACTGTCACAGCCTCTTTGTAACAGAATTCAGCAG